GCAGTTGAGTGCGGGTGCGTAGGGCATGCAAAACCACATCTAACTTCTGGGCGCCGCCCCAGTGGGGTCGGCGGATATATATATATATATATATATGTATATATATATATATATCAGTGAGTTACGTGTGCTATGTTCATACATCGGCTTGTTTTATTGGTCTTTATATGTAGATGTATTCTTGTTGCTCATATGCTTACAGTGACATGTGCTCTTGTGTGTATGCTTCAACTCTGGAGCAGCGCGGGGTGCGATTTCGCGGGGCGGCATCCAATGTCCCACACTGTTAGATAAGACACTTCCTAGTGTGTTGGAGGTGGCAGGCCGGTCTATCCCTACGGTAAAGTTCGTTGTATCTACGAACGATCAGGCCTGCGTGTGTGATTTGCCCTTTCCAACTGGTTTCGCAATACGCAATCGGCGAACGAATCAATCCTGCGTGTATACACTCAGCCACAGCAGTACAGGTTTGGGCCACGGTGTTCGGATCGGTGCTAGCCCTGTGCGTGCACTTTCATTCGTAACTTGCAAAACCCACATTGACATACCTACATGCAGGTACATCCGACTCCTGCGAAGCCAAGGTTTGCTTGCAGCATGGCACCCGCATGGTGGCGGAACTTGGGCACACAGTTCGATATCTCTTCCATTTATGCAGTTGCTCGTGGGGCACGATTCCCTCCTGACGAGGCAACAGTTAAGGGCAAAGACCTTCTACTCAAGACAGATGTGGGAGCGGCCCACATACTTGACGCCAACGTAGGCCTTGGCATTAATTACGCGGTTATGGCATGGCATTGGACCATGGTCCTGGTCTTCGTGGTGACGTACTTCGGGATTGTGGCTCTAACCACGTCGATGCATGAAGGCATTCCGTGGCTGACGCTGGTGCAAAAGCTCCTCGTGTTCTGGAACATGTGGGAAGCCCTAGGGCTTGGTGTCATCTCGGGACCAATGCATGCCAAAGTGAATCCACCGTTTCAGGACTGGTGGTATCGATGGACTGTTGGCACCATGAAGTACAATGCCCCCTTCCTGCCTTGTCTGCCCAATCGCAGAAACTATTTGGATGTGCTCGTGGAGGGTGTCTTGATGTACCTGCTGACGGTTCGCGTGCTTGTGTCCCCGGAAGTCACTCCTGCACTGATGTGGCCGTTAACGGCCTGTCTGAGCCTTGTCTGCCAGTGCTGTTTGGTGCTGACGCTGCTGCTGGACTCGAAGCACATTCCTCAACTTCTGATGCTCCCCGAGGATCTATGAGTTTCTCTTCGACTATGGGCAGCATATGCACACATATGGTACCCAAACGATGTACTGCTTCTTCTGCATGTGCTTCACTGTGGAGCAGGGTCAAGTCGCGGGCCTGCAGCTGTTCATGACCTGGCGCCAGACTCAGTGACAAGATCGAACAATCCATGCTGACAGCACCTGCCTTGTGTTCTGCGCTTGCAGCCGAGGTTTTACTTGTGCTCTGGTTGGCCCTGTCCTTAATTCAATTGAGACCCGCAAAACGCCATGAGTCAATGCATCGCAGCAGCTGAGCCTTTCAGGTGCAAGATCGGGCCATGGTTCAAGTACTTGAACGTGAGCAACCTCTGGTCTGCAAAGTACATGGTGAGCATGCCTTGGTCGGACTGGTATCGGCGAGTCATGTACAAAGGACCAGCAGAGCCTTCTTCTTTTCAAAACTGCTCATGATATTTGCTCCATGCCCGTCCCGAAAGCCCACGGCCCTCCAGGATACAAAGACTCGGATCCGGATTACCACCTTACCCTGGCCGCTACGTTTTTCTCAGCCGCCTGTGCAGTCAGCGAGACTCTGGGGCCAATGCTGGTGCTCTCGAACAACGACTCGGTGGTGACCTTTGGCATCATCTTCATCTGCTGCATGCACCTTTACATCATCTCTACGCTTATCGTGGATGCAGGGGCCTCAAGCAAAAGGCCTTGCAGGCTTTTGCGATCGTAAAAGGCCATAAGAGCCAGGTCTTCACCTGGAACTTCGTGGACGCCTTGTTGTACATCTTCCTCTTCGGTTGCTATGGGCCTGCGGTAGGCGGTCTGGGGCAATCATGGGCAATTGGCGATGCCTGACATGTCAGTGATTCCCTCACCCGCTAAAGATCCCCCAGTCCCGGCCGGATCACCGTTGGGAGGCGGTCCTATGGGTTTGCAATGGCACGACGTTCCAAAAGTCCATCCGGCCATGGCTGCCTTCCTTTTGGCACATGCCTTCTACAGTGTCTACGGCAACTTTGTCCCAAGCCAGGTAACAAGGCCTGAATTTGTCGGTTCTTCTTTGGTGCTCCAGTTGGAGTTCTGTCGAAATGCACACGTTGTGACAATAAGGTGCCCTATGTAGTGGCGCACCGACACGCTGCCGGGAACTTTGCGCAGGGTGTTCTCCTTGTGCGGGTATCGGCGGCCGCCAAACTGGGCAAGGTGGTCCCTTTCGCGCCACGAAAACCAAATAGGACTCCTCTTAATCGCTTTCGGAAGATCTGCCAAGCAGGTGGTCGCACACAGCGGCTGCCCTGTGGTGAAGGGCGCTCCTGCCCCAGGATGGATGGGAGAGTGGCGCCTCGGATGCTTAGGATTTCGGTAAGCAAGATCCGGACAGTCCGGGAACTTGAGTAGCACACTATTGCAGAGGCTTGGCTTCCACCTTCTGATGGCCTACTTCTGGTTCTGGAACTTGCCCAACCGGATGCTTCTCCCTTTGACCTTCGACCAGCTGCAAGTTTTTGGCGGAAGGGAGGTGGCAGCCTCGGCCACAACTCATGTTTGTTTTGATTGTCGCTTGCTTATACACGTATACGCAAATTTTGCACATGTATATTATTATTATGTATATATGTATGTATGTATGCATGTATGTATGCATGTATGTTTGTTTGTATGTATGTATGTATGTGTGTATACAAGTATGTGCATGTGTGCGTATGTGCAGGCATGCATGCTTGGACTGATGGATGGGTGCATGGATGTATGGATGGACCCTCGCCTGCTTGTCGAGTGCGAGTGCCAAAAATGGATGTATATTGATGTATATTAAATTTGTATGTGCGTATGTGCGGGTCACCCTCCCTGCGGAGCAACTTCTTGCAGTGGGGCTGCGACTAGCAATATTTGGGCATGTGCATGTGTACGTATACATGTAACGTAGATATGGTATGATATGGTCATATGTATGTCATGTGTGTACGTATGTACTTATGCATGCGTGAATGTATGTATGTACGTACGCAGACGGACATAGTTGTGTGTACGGCGTAAAACGTAGATACATTAGTCAGGTTAGAGCGTACATACACGAACACACATTACATGCATGAAAAGTGCGTCTGTAAACCCATGCACAGTAAATTTCAAATTTTCTCGTTCGGCGTTGTTGAACGAATGCTACGCCAGAGTAGATCTCGGAGGAAACACGCCAGGAGAGGGCCAAGAGTCTAAGAGTCGACCAGAGACCACAACCGGCAGGATTCCACCGGCAGACCTCACGAAAACCACCCAGAGACCGCCAGCAGACCCCAGGAGACCACCCAGACCATCGGGAGACAGGAGACCGCCCGGGACCCCCCGGTGAAATGGTTGGGCCCATGCAGACAGGTCAAGGCCAAGACGAGGCCACACGAACCAGTTCTCTTGACTTCAAAAGTAAGAACTTCATAGTGTGTTCCGTGGCATAGATGCTGGAACACAACCGTCTCAGCAGTGTCCTTAGTACTATGAACCTATTGGAGTGTGACCTACTACCCTGCCTAGCGGCCTAGTGACCCACTCGGCTCTGCAGGAGGCAGAAAGTATTGTTGTCGTTGTGGATGTGAGGAGGACTTCATTATGTTGCACTCGGTGTTGGTGTTCGACGCCTTGGCCGCACACGTCCGATTTGACGGCCTCAGTAGTCTCGCCCTGGTCCGTGAGCTGGGCACCGTCTGTGGCTTCGAGGAGCTGTTCTTGGGTTTTGAGGTTTTTGGGAGCTGGGAAAAATGATCGTGATGAGTTACGTGTGTTTGTGTGGATCTGTGTCATGATCCTTCATGTTCTTTAAGACGGGACCTACTTGGGTTCTAGCTTGTTGAGTTGGTCTTGTAGCCACTGAGACCTGGAATCCTGCCCTGAGAGTTGCGGAAACACCTTTGAGGAGGGCGAGTGCACGCTGTGTTGGGTCGGGGGATTCCAGTCTTTCCCGGTGCAGCTCTTCTCCGACCCCAGCGCCATGTGGAAGGTGGTGGACAGCAAAAAAGGCCTTTTGAGCAGTCGCTTCAACGTACGGGCACTTCCACAGGGTAGGGGCAGAAGCTCCCTGTTTCAAGTGCCAACAGGTGTCGTTCGAGAAGGCACCTATACGGTCCAGGCTGGGCTGGCCTTGCTTTACTGTCCACGTTCGGAGACAGGTTCCGTAGCTCCTAATAACCGGTGCCCTCGTGCCACTCCTGCTTCACAGGACGTGGAGGATCCTGCATACAAAAAGCCATCGGACTGCAGAGATCTCAAAATCGCAAAGAAGCTCTCGATGTCACGTGCTCTGGTGTGATACGTCGAGTTTCGGAAATCGTTTCATCTTCCCGGTCAGCAACCGCCCGGCCCGCATTATTCAGATGATCAGATGCCAGGATCTCTGGGTGCGTCCATTGAAGTCGTCCCGAGCCAATCCCAAGCAGAAGTTTAGAATCTGGAATCTTTGGATGCTCGGCCCCAAGGCCGATCTTGGCAGAATCTTCCTTCCGCTTCTGGCAGTTTGGCCTGAAGCCGGATTTTTCCAAGAGCTTCCGGATATGGAAACAAACGGGAGCAGGAGATTCTGTGTGGGCAGCTGTTGAGGGTTTTGAGTTTGCTGCCTGACCGTTCATGGTTGCAAGCTTGAGCTTCGGGATACCAAAAAGTGCTTCTCTTCTTAGCTCTTGGACCTCTTTAAGGCCTCCATGCGCGGCATGAGCAGCGATGGCAGGTGCCGGATGACGACCTTGTCGAGTTGCCGACTGGGGCTCGGATCTGTTCGTGCGTGGGCGCTGCACGGAGCCCCTTTGAAGATCCCGAAAGGACGTCAAATTTCAGCATTCAAAACGGGTTCGAGAGGAGTCTCTTCGATGATGGTTGGTGTGCAGCATGAAGAAAGTGGTTCTCTTGAGTTGCGGAGGCTTGAAGAAGAAGAGCTCATGCGCTTCAATGACACCGGCCACTGGCAGGCATGCGGTTCGTATTGGGGCATGGCGGGGAGTGCACATCATGTGCTTTCTGCGCATGCTACTTTCAGCCTTGCCGCCTCAAAGACTTCGGACCACCGCAAGAATGTGCCCATGCATAAGGTAGCTGGCATTGTGCGACGTTGCTCAGCACTCATACGGTCGAGTCTAAGTCTCTTGATTCGGGCAGGAAGGCTTGAAGAGCTGTTGAAATCAGATATTTTCAGAAGTGTTCCCCAGGCTCTGTCTAAAATACTCAGACACCACAGAGTTACTGGTGATGCTTGCAGTCTAGCAGGAAGCCCAAACAGGGAGTCGTCGCACCTAGCCGAGCAAGATGGAATCCAACGCAGAACGAATGATCGCACAGATAATCCTGCGCAATCCTCATTTCGGACAACGAGTCCTGTTCGACATAGGGTTCTTTGTCATGACCCCCGGATGAGAGGGCACTAGTATCTCAGTACGCTAGGGGCCTGCTGTAGTTCCAGAAAGTCGGCCAGCTCAGAACCATTTTCCATTGTGTAAGCGCCGAATTCTTCCGAGGCAGGTGCGAGTGTGAAAGTAGTGCCATGACATTGCGATCGAGTTTTGCAGACAGCTAAGACAGACAGTAGCAGAATCAGTTATTGTGTCACAGGTATTGGAATTCACTCATGTCCTCCTTAGCCGAGTCAAAGGGTGTCTAGACTTAGACTGCATGCTTCAGATTCGTAGGAAACTTTTGCTGCGCCCCTGCTATCACAATGCCTTCCATGTGCATGATGATGCCTTAGTGCGGCTTGCTGAGTCTATTCCTCATAAACCGAGTGCCCCTTCTAGAGAGTCATAGAGGGCCGCAGGCTCGCGCGGCAGATCACTGCGCTATCACATGCCGCCACGCAAAGTGTGTCTTCAGTTGGCTAGTGCTGAACATCCGATCAGTGGCCCCTGTGGATCATAAGCTACAGGGGCTCAAGAGACCAATTCATATTATAGGGATCAACTACGTAAAGTGGACGATTATGACAGGCGGTCAAAGAAGCCATGACCCGAGCACTCTCGTGTGCGGTGGCCCGGAGAGCACAGGGAGGGCGCTTCATTCGATGTTCATCTCACCTGTTGCTTAGTCTATTGCTTTGGCAGTATCATGGGCTTCGAAGTTTTGTTGATAGTTGCACTGGTTGTAGCAGCTGAAAAAGTAAAACGTGGGTTCAGCGTGTTTGGCTTTCAAACGGATGCTGCCGTGGCTGGCGGTAAACCTGAGCTGACTGGCAGCATGCCAGCCTGCAGGGGAAAGGAAGAGATTCCGATCATGTGTGGACTCAGAATCGAAATAACAAAAAATAGACTAGTGAACCTATGGGCATCCTTCGAAGTTCATCGGCCAGAGCTTTCGATTGAAGTCAGAGGTTTGGCGCCGGGCTCCTTCGTGCAGTTACTGGATATTTCTGATGTGCCGCACACAGTCTGGGAGTTCGTGCATCGAGGAGGGGCGGATCGTAGGCTGCAAGTGGGAAGCGTGCCATCAAGACCTTGGGTCAAGTAACGACATGTCCTTGCTGTTTGGGCCTTGAGAAGGCTGACTTAAACGATGCGTTCACGGTGACAACTAACCAGCCAGATGGAGCTCCGCAAGTCTCAAGCATCACTCAGGCTTTACCCCTTTCCCTTCTACTTGCTCCTGAGCTTTGTGCCACGGCTTCGAGATGGGATGCTGTCTGCTGCCACAACCTCAGCGAAGCACGAGAGCATGAGAGTGACAGTGCTTGGGCATTTGTGTTGTGCCGGTGGGTTGGCGTGAAGCATGTAGCATGTACCACTTGCTGGTAAACTAGCAGTCAGCGAGCACACAGAGGTTTGCGAAGCCGCGCTGAGAAGCAGGCGTTGGACCTGCATGATGCGGTTTCAACGGCTGCCTTTGGTGATTCAATGGCGCTTAGCCACGAGGCTCTACTTTCGCTGATAGCCTCAAGCTCGCTGGACGCAGATCGTGCCGAAGCCAAAGACAGGGGTTGTGGTTGGTGCCCGTCCTGATCAGATGGTCAGATGGCCGTTCTGAGGTGCATATTCTATTGGCATCGACGCAGCAACTGATTCAGGACCGATGAAGGGCTCCATTGACTGCTTTATGTGCGTAGTACCTGCAAGGTCCGCCAGACCTAGGAAATAACACACCTCCGCCCCTGCCGGAGTTGCAGGCAGCATTGCCGTCTCCATTTCCACCGAACGGTGCTGGTGCAGAGGCAAGCCATGTCAACGTGACTGAACCTCCTCCACTTGGTGACACAGGCAGACGATGGGAGGCATTGTAGTGCTTTCTTCATGTCTCAAGTCCTTTCATCATGTTGTCCTTGTCCAACACTGTGAAAAAATGGTCAAGGCTCCAACACTGCATATCTCCTTTGGCGTTTGTCCAAATCCTTACTGCTCGCAGCTTCTGGTAGCAGACATGAGATGCAGTATCAAAGCCATGGCACGTCAGTTCGTAGTCAACAGGCCACTCTGCAGTCTACACCATCGGCCAGCCTCATCATCTGCGAGGCTTTGATTGAGCCCATGCTCCTGATGTCATAAGTAAATTAAGTCCACGCTTCGATGCCGGAAACTGGGTCAGTTTGCGAGGATATTGTGGGAGCTTCCGGCGCCCTGCGGGCAGAAGCTCTCGAGGCAAGCACCAACTAGACATGCTGCGGGCCTGCGGGGATTCGGATAGTTGACTTATATAGATTTGGAAGTCTCTGGCAGAGGTCCGTCTCAGAGCTGTGAAGTTTGATGGATAACTCGTGACATGCCGCTTGACTGTCAATTGCTGAGGATTTGGCGCTCCTTTGGCGCACCTGCTCAGGCAGATGTGGGTCGTAGGCCGAGCAGATGTAGTGCGATAGAAGGCGTGTCTTCGTCGCAGGGCGACACGGCCGAGAGCTACGAGTTGTCCCCGAGGCACTTACAGTGTAGTCTCAGGCTCTCTGCCAAAGTCTGACAAGTCCATGTGCCAAGACCATCGTGCTGAAGCTGTCTCTCATTGAGAGTGACGAGCTGGAGAGGACCCCCTTCTTTTTGTATCGAATGACAGGTAATGGGGAGCAAGTTAATTAAGAATTCAAGGTCGACAGTTACGCGTAAATGCAAGCAAGTTATGCGTGTGGGTAGGTGCATGGTTCACGGCATATCGCACTGCGCTTGCGTTCATGTGTTTTCAGGCGCACTCGTGTAGTGGAGCGTCCTGGTGGAGTTGATGTCTCCGAAGTGAACGCACTGAGCGTTTCCGACTTCCTGAGCTCTGGCCACAGTCACCTGGTCATCATCCGTGTGTGTAACGGGCTTGACATGGCATTCGAGGTCTTGAAGAATCACTCTTGAAGCCGAGATGCTTATGCAAGGAGGTGCCCCCATGCGTCGTGTTTCCTGCTGCCTCGCCGAGATTCGCCGAGCAGAAGACGTGATTCCTGACTGAAGGTGGAGGCCCTCTCGCTGCCCTTGGGCCCCTCCCTGCTCACGGCACTCGCAGCTCTCAGCGCACGCCCTGGGGCTCAGTGCCCAAGCCGTGGCTCATGGCTTGAGGAGGTTGACCACTCGTGTTTCCTCGCATGCTGTGCAGGTGAAAACGGAGCACCTCTGTTGCGCTTGAGGCTGACAGCAGAAAGTTCTGGGAAGGCACCCGATCAGACTTCCGACAAGTTCAGTGACAGTGAAGTCACCGTGACGTGGCTTCTGCGGAGGTCCACGGCATCGTCACACGTTTTGCGTGGCCAGGATCAGCAGGCCTCAGACTTTTCGTTTGCTTTTGCTGCTCGGCTGAGCCTTTTGAGCCAGGCCAGAGCTGGGACAAGAGGCGCGCCATGGCTTTTACGATGTGTCTTACGATGCATCCGAGATATTCCCCGAGTTTCGATGATTGCGGTCTGAGGACGCGAGGACGCGGCCCAACTTATTTTTAAAACAACGGTCTTTGCGTTCTCGAACTCGAGGAGTTGAGCTTCGCTATTTTGGGGTGTCCGGGGGTGGAACTCGAACTCGAGCTCCCGCCACAGTGCTGAGATCTGAAAACCCTAGCCGTGGAGTTCATTATTCGCCTTCGCGGGGCTCCTTGGTGTGGTTTCGAGGTTTAAACTGCCGTGCAGAGGGTTCGGTGCATGTCCACCTGGTCATGCGCTCGCCTGGGCTCGAAATTCGCGTAGCTGTGTGCAGGTTGGCAGGAGTTCTTTGGCCATGTGAGGGAAGGAACAAGCCGCCACACCTGGAGGCGAGTCGAAAGTGTGCCGTGCTGCGGACTAACCACCACATCTTCGGCTCTGAGTAGATCAAAAGGTCGGCGACAGCGTGGTTGTGACGGTTGGGTACACGCCTGCACGTGGCCTCCTCGCACTGGCCTGAGCAAAACGCAGGGGCAAAGTGACATGTCATGCGAGTTTCTATTTCGTGAGCGCAGGTGACCCCAGTTTGTTTGGAGCGCGCCAGCAGCGCCACGAGAAAACAAGAAATGCCAGCTCCGTCATTAAATCCGAATGATGCGGATTCCTTCAACATAGGAGAACTGGGAAACCTGCATCATGACGTTCGCAGGGGATGCACGAACTGGTTAGATTATAATAACAGATTGCTAAAACTATCCAACTACTCCGAATCGAGAATGAAAGAACAGGAGATATGAAGATGTTTGATGTACGATCCTAACTTATTTCTTGGGAACAAGTTTCTGGGTTTGGTACCGAAAATTAAAGTCTATGTGCCTTCAAAAGAACTCATTTCATTCTTCCGTAATGACCTTGGCGTGCACGGTCTTTTGTTTGTTTGCTAAGGGTTTCCGCTGCGTCATCATCACCATATACAGGATTCCATTGCAGCCCATTAGGTATGCTCTACTGAATTAGGCTAACTTCAAAAGGTGCCTAAATGCGCTCATCATGGCGGTCGGTCTTACTACGCGCTCCACGACAGCCGACTTGCAGGGACCACCGAAGCTTGCTCCAAGCTGGGTGACACAAAGCTTTTACTTGAGGTTCTTCAAAAATGCCGTTTTTGGATGTGTGCTTGAGATCAGCAGTGCTAAATACTTCGTGCTAGTCCAGGTATCTCTGCAGGGCATCAGGTCGGCTGCAAGGCCTCGGATGGTGTCGGCACGTGGGCAGCCGTTTCAGCCTTCAGCAGTATATACTGTATCCTAAAAGTGTTTCAGTGTACCTCCCTCTTGGCGTACCATGGCAGTCCGCGGGCAAGTCTCTCCCTTCGGACCTTATGGTGGCCTTGCGCCGGCAGAGGAGAGGACCACCGAACACCCGGAGCGATTGGCTTCTTTGAATGCAGGTGTTGCAGACTTTGAGTACGAGCAGTTTTTGAAGGCAAAGGAGGTACAGCGGGCCATGTTCAAGGCGGAGAACAAGACGATCGTTCATCAGTGTGCGGACACGGATGTGATCGAGGCCAGCGAAGGCTCCATTGCATGCATCGATGGGAACCAGGCAGCAGCTCACGTGGCCTACGCCCTCAGTGACTGCGCCTTCATCTACCCCATCACACCAAGCTCCCCGATGGGCGAGATGGTTGACGAGTGGGCTGCTCAAGGTTTGATCAATTGCTATGGCCAGAAACTATCCGTCACGGAGATGCAAAGTGAGGCGGGTGCTGCTGGAGCCTTGCATGGCGCCTTGAAAGCAGGAGCTTTGGGCACGACCTTCACCGCAAGCCAGGGGCTGCTTTTGATGATCCCCAACATGTTCAAGATTGCAGGTGAGTTGCTTCCATGTGTAATGCACGTGGCTGCACGGGCCCTTGCAGGACAGGCCTTGCACAGTAACATTATAGTATTATTAGAGCATTATTGTAATGACATTATAGAACTGCTATAGTACCATACTAGTAGTACGGTTATAGTATCATGCAGGACAGGCCTTGTCCATCTTTGGGGATCACAGCGATGTGATGGCCTGCCGCTCTACGGGCTGGGCCATGCTGGCTTCGGAGTCCGTGGAGATGGTGCAGTACAATGCCCTGGTCGCCCGCCATAGCAGTTAGGACATGAGTAGTTCTCTAAATTAGGGTCCCTTTTTAGGTCCTTATAAAAAGGACCCTAAACGGGACCTTAACTTAAAGAACTGCCCACATGTTCGCATATCTTAGCACACGTTGGGCGCATGTTGGCAATTGTCGCTGTGCTGGTCGCGAACATGTGCGAACGTTCAGGTTGATGTTTGTTTTTCCCTGAGATTGAGAGGTGTCCATGTCCTTGATGCATCAAGCATGTTTGTCCAGGTCTCCCACCTCGTCTCCATGGAGCGTCGTGTGCCGGTGCAGCACTTCTTCGATGGATTCCGCACGAGCCACGAGGTCAACAAGGTCAAGTTGGTGGACTACAAGACCATGAAGGCACGCATGCGCAGTTGCATTAAAACTGCATATGCTGCATGGGCGGCTTTGCGTGAGGATTTCGTCAACTGGGATGCCATCAAGGAGCACCACGACCTTGCTATGAACCCACGGCATCCTCACGTGCAGGGGACGTCGCAGGGTCCAGACATCTTCTTCCAGTGCGTGGAGGCAGGAGGGGTGCGACATGGAGTCGCGAGGAGAAGATACTGCATTCATTATGGCGGTGGTGTTGAATTTTACTTAACCGCAGGGCAGGAGCTGTTATTGTAAGCAGTTGTTGCAGTTGCAGTTGTAGTTGTAGTTGTTGTTGTTGTTGTTGTTGTTGTTGTTGTTGTGGTTGTGGTTGTGGTTGTGGTTGTTGTGGTTGTTGTGCTTGTTCTTGTTCTTGTTCTTGTTCTTGTTGTTATTGTTGTTCTTGTTGTTGTTGTTGTTGTTGTTGGTGGTGTTGTTGTTGTTGTTGTTGTTGTTGTTGTGGTTGTGGTTGTTGGTGTT